TACAAAAGGTGACAAGAATACTTTATTTTATCAAATGAACAATGAAAAGATACAAAAAAACAAAATGAATCTCTTGGCCCCCTTGGCATGACTCCACATGAAAAATAAACACTGTTTTGGAAAATGATTTTAAATCCATAATCTAGTTTTACATGTCTTGGAAACTGCCTCTCTACTTTCAAGCATGACTAAGGTCTACATACACACTCTCTCCCCATACCTTTTATCATTTTGTCAGATTGCTGTTGTAATCTAGTTTTACATGTCAACAAAGCATGAGAAGGTGCCACAATACATGAGCTTATATCAGAAGTCATAAAAGTGCTAAATGCAAAAAATATAAAAGATATATATTACTCCCTCCGCCCGGTATTAAAGTAACCATTTTGACTTTTGTTCATTTTCATGGGAAGTTGGCTATGGTGCAATTTGATTAAAATGCCCTTCATATCCTTCCTTTGTCAGTCTCGCCGAACACAGCCCCCAACCACTACCGCTGCCCCTCCGTTGCCCCAGCCCCCTTCGCCATCGCCCCACCACCACCGCTTACCCCAGCTTCGCCTGAGCCCCCACCGCCACAGTCAGCTCTTCCGTCGTCGTCATCCCCGAGCCAAATCTGTCATCCCCGAGCCCCGAGCCAAATCTGCCAGATTTGGGAGACAGAGAAGACATAGGAGGAAGAAGAAGAAAAAAAGGGGGGAGAGAAAATAAGCAGGCACATATCTGATTGAGAAGATGGAGGAAAAAGAAGAAAAAGAACAAGAAGATGATGGGGGGAGGAAGAGAGAGAGAAGAAAAGGGTGAAGATTGTGGAATGCCGAGAATTGAGAAAGAAGGGGGAGTCCGAGAGAAAGAAAACGGAGTGATTGGGTAAGGGGTATTTAGGGTAGTTTGTGTGTTAAAAATTGAAATGTGAACTTTATTTTCAGACGGGAAAAAACGAGAATAGGTAACTTTATTTCAGGACGGGGGAGTATATAACCAGCGAAATATCATCTAAAAAAACATCTCACCTCCATACAAATAGGAACATACTCCTTATGAGCTTTGAGAATAATAGCCTTGCTGCTTGTTTCAATACAAACTGTGAGCCAGTTCAATGTCAAAGATCCAACAAGTGGAACTTTGTTTTTTGTAGCTGCCTTAATATCTGCAATAATGTCAATTCTCTAGTTCATACAAACTTTATACCAAGAAAAATGATTGACAAACCAAGAAGAATGGTAAAAATGGGGATGAATACACCATATTTGATTGCAAGTACTGTATTTTGCACTCACAAAATGTGCATTTTTCATTTTTGACAAAGATGAAAAGCATATCACACTACTAATTAAAGATTCGCTATTTTTTTTTCTTTGGGGAATGATGGAATAAAGCAAAATGGCTCTCTATACTGTTTGCGCTTCTTTGAATAATGAAGTAGCAATTAATCAATGCAACTTTCGACACTCATCATGGGTCATCCGGAAACAGCCGTGTTTTAAACATATGTTTTAAACATAGGGGGTCAGGCTGCGTACATCTACCCCCCCCCCACTCCGCAATGGGCAGGAGCCTTTGAGGCACTCTGCTAATGTTATTGTTGCGCTACTAATTAATGAACTAACTCCCATCTGTCATTATGGTTCGTGTTTTGTGAATGAAAAAAAATTTCATTTACCTTACCTAAACAAAAGAGATAATGTGTGAAAAGTATAAATATAGGGATGTTCTGTCAATAAAAGTTGTAGACCGTACCCAAAATGGTGGGGTAAGTTAGCAGCATAGACAACATAGTGCAATATATTTCTCATTTTATGGCATTTTACATGCTTCATTGGGTAATCACCTGAGGTATGATTCACACATTTTGAGCAAAGATCTTACCTTCAACAATATTCGAGAAATTTATGCAGCCAGACTTGTGCATTGCCTGGAGTGTTTGAGTTAGTGCCTCTGTTAAAGCAGGCTTTTTCTCTTTTAATTTTTCCTGCCCAAAAAATGTCAGGGAAAAAAAAAGTTACAAATGAGGTGCAGGGAAACCAAAATCTTCGAAAATTTAAGTTATATCAAGCAGCAGCAGGATCATAACACCCTATCATTACTCATTAGTGCCAGAGCTTTAATATAAGACTTCCAGCGTGAAAAGGAGATAGATTTCCAGCGTCTCATGCTTCGTAGAGGTTGGAACGTTGGATCTACCACTATGGTGATGCAAAAATGGCACTCTAATTACAGCCCCTCAGACGAATGTCCTATTGTGCCAATATGGGTGACCATACACAACCTTCATATACATCTTCAAGATCATAGAGCTATTAATCTCATTGCCTCCAATCTCTGAAATCCTTAAATGCTAGATGATAGGACAATGAAGTTAATCAATCCCCAGTCTGCTCGAATATGTGTTGAGCTTGATGTCTCCAAACCCTAAGAATCTGCTTGGTTGGGCTGGAGGGGAGGGAACCAAAAATTTTAAGTTCAAAACCCTCCCCTCCCCTTGTATCTACCCCTTCCAAATCGGGGTGTTGCGGTTTCCTTCGTCCAACAACAAGCCTTTTTTATTAATTGCAGAAACCTGGCACCATCTTTTTCATTTGCATGTCAAATCGCAGAGGCCACCACCGCCGTCTTATTTGTTCATTGCAGAACAACATTGAGGCAGAGGCTACCATCACCATCAATGTTTTATGTCTTCGTCGCAGGAGCCCAGAGCCTTTTTTATTAATTGCAGAAACCTGGCACCATCTTTTTCATTTGCATGTCAAATCGCAGAGGCCACCACCGCTGTCTTATTTGTTCATTGCAGAACCACAATGCCGCAGAGGCTACCATCACCGTCAATGTTTTAAGTCTTCGCCGCAGGACCCCAGTGCCTCCTGTCTCCCAAAGTACGGATCTTACACTTCAGTTTTCCAATTTGGTGGAAAGTTCCTGACAATGGAAATTGATAACTCCTCTTGCAAACTTTGTAAGTGAAAGAAGCTAATTCAAGAAGAGAGTCCAAAAAAAGCCTTCGAGATCCATTTCCTCCGACGAGGTCCAATTGAGGCTTTCCTTCCCTTCCCTAACCAAACAAGGTAAAACAAAACCATCCCCCTCCCTTCCCAGNTGGAAGTAAAAAGATGGATAAATTACGAACAGTAAGTCGGTAACAAACTCTTCTCAGAATAATACCTTAGCAATAGCTGACAAAGCTGAAAATGCAGCATCTCTAACCTCTGGTGTTCCATCACTCAGGCACTGCATGAGCAAAATTTCATAATTATAACAAAAATAGATGCCATTAACAAATAATTCACTCATTACATATATGGAGTATAAACAAAGAAAAACTAAATTTTTTATTTTTAATCGGGTGCATTGCAGTCTCTAAATGAAATAGTGAAGGACTGTTTCAAATTTTAGTCAGCAGCATTAGAATTAAACAGTTTATGTGCTGTGCATAAAAGTAAAGCTTTGCGCCATTTGGCCCTTGTTAGGGACCAAATCTAGAACAGTCTTTGGTTTGATTTGAATTCTGAATATCCGGTGTGATCAAAACAATAGTTGACTAGATTTGGAGTGGGATCCTATTAAGATATATTCCAACTCCCCAAATCCTAGTTGCGAGACCTTACTGATTTTTTCTAGTATTACATAATAATGTCAAAAGGGATGTGACAATGTATTTTTTAAAAAATACTGCCACCGTTCCAAAATAGATGTTATTGTTCCAACAACGTGCAAAATCCTATCACTTTTAAAATCCTTTTTATGAAAAATTGGTATATAAAAGAAAAGTACTCCCTCCGTCCTAAAACTATCTTCTCACATTTCTTTCCGGGCAGTCCAAAAATTATCTTCCCATTTCAATAAATAGTAAATAAATGAGTGGTAAAAGTCATGTTTGCCCTTAGATTCTATTACTCTGTATTTCTCAATCGGCCCTTCCTCAACATTTTCTCTCCCACTCCATTCCTCTTCTATTTCTCTCAAATGTTGTCTCCTCTCTAATTCTCTCTCACTCTTCATCTTCCCCAATTCTTTCCATTCTCCCTTCACCTCTTCCACATATTTGATGGGTGATGTGACAAGGGTGGCTCTCCCAATTATTTGAAAGATCCAAGCTAAGTGAGCTCAAAAAATGATTGATGACCCCCAGTGATGATTGATGAGCGCACTCAAGCAATGTCCTTGCGGTAAATCTCAAAATTGGCCTCTGTCACAGATCTCATTTGTGTTGGAATCAATTGATCCAAAAGAAAATCCACCATGATTGGTCAACAAGAATTTAGGGTATGGAGTTTAGATGTATGGCGCATATATATGGATTGGATTGTTTGGAAATGAAACCAGATTCAAATTGGAAGATATTCTTCCGAAACCACATTCAGATTGGTGGATATTAATCGGATGGAGTAGAAAGGGTATTTTTGGAAAGTCAACTCCATTTTTACACACCACTAAAAATAAAGCCCGGTCAAAGCAGGAAACTAGTTTTAGGACAGTAAGTAGAAATCATCAAAAGTACTACAATACAAAAGGTGACAAGAATACTTTATTTTATCAAATGAACAATGAAAAGATACAAAAAAACAAAATGAATCTCTTGGCCCCCTTGGCATGACTCCACATGAAAAATAAACACTGTTTTGGAAAATGATTTTAAATCCATAATCTAGTTTTACATGTCTTGGAAACTGCCTCTCTACTTTCAAGCATGACTAAGGTCTACATACACACTCTCTCCCCATACCTTTTATCATTTTGTCAGATTGCTGTTGTAATCTAGTTTTACATGTCAACAAAGCATGAGAAGGTGCCACAATACATGAGCTTATATCAGAAGTCATAAAAGTGCTAAATGCAAAAAATATAAAAGATATATATTACTCCCTCCGCCCGGTATTAAAGTAACCATTTTGACTTTTGTTCATTTTCATGGGAAGTTGGCTATGGTGCAATTTGATTAAAATGCCCTTCAT